ACAAAAAGTGTGCGCGTGTAGGTTTGGAAATTATAAATTAAAAAATATTCAAGCATTTCGAGAGATTTTGATTACTCCGCTGACTTAAGTACAGTATTGGTAATTTTATTGTGCCGCTCAAGCCACCACGTTATATTCAACTGTGTTTCGGGCTGCACCGGCCACTTAGACAATTAGTAGCCTTTAACCTTCATTTGCCATCTGTTGCCGGAAGGACATAAATGTCGGCCATTCTTCTTAAAGCCACCACAACCGGTGCAGTAGTTTTTATTGGCTGACGGTAGCCATGCTCTAACGTGAATAGCCATAGCGAGAAAAATGTCTACTTTGGCAGGTCTGCCTATTATATCTCGCTAAGAGTTACGTAATCGTCCGTTGAAAGTTTAGCTATGCGTAGCGATGAAGTTTGATTTGCTACGCCGGATCTCAAACTTGTACCCCGAGACATTCTGCGGACCTTCTAGCTTTACAGAATGGATCCCGTTCTTCTATCTAAGTGCCATTAGAGCGTGTATAAATACCCGGTTCTCTTCTTCAAGAGCTCTCAGGGGTCTCGTAGCGGAGCACCTGTTTCACGACGCGGTCTGCCACGGAGGTTCCCAAGTAGGTAACAATTTTCCTTAAGTAGCATAACGTCTCCCGGCCAGGCCGCTTATCGACGCTGCTGGTTACATCCTTTTGGATCGTTCGAGATCGAAGAGAGAAAGGGATAAATCGGGGAAACACACATGTCACCGGGTAATAAAAGCCGTTTCGACCAGACGACCGGAAATAATTCAGACACGCCCCGCTTTTCTATCACGGACGTCGATCGTTGGAAAACGATTACACGGTCAAAATCTTGCGGTCGAAACGGTTATTCCCAGCATCCCGTTTTCTTTGTACCTTTAGCCGGTGAAAAGTGCCCCGGCCCTTCGTATCGCGCTACATTTTCACGGCTGTTGCCTGAAAAATTTACGACAAATCGTTGTTGAAAAACGCATAGTTGCAAATTGCAAGTGCGGTATTTTTATTTTCATTTGATATGAAAATAACGAGATTTTGATGAGCGCCGCGCAAATTATTCGTTTCTGATCGCCATGGCGTGCTCTCGTGTGCCACGCACTCATATATCGTAGCCCCGTGTAACTCATTTACGTTCGTTTTATGTACAGCTTAGATAGAATCATAAATACACTGTACGCGCGATATTTATAATTATTTGGCTTGCGACAGACCGCACACGAAGGTGGAATCGATGAAGTCTATTCGAGAAATGAACACACTATTGTCACGCATAACGTTGGATTTACCTGCGAGTGCCATCGAAGTTGGCGCTGACAAATTGTTTATTAACTGTACTGCAGTTAATAAACGGCTAATAACTCCGTTTACGGTCCCCTCGATTATATCCGCTGTAAAGTATTTTCCTTACGGCCAACTCGTAACGACGTCTTAACTCTTGTATATTTATTGAGGAAATTAAAATGGACCATACGTCCGCCGCGGAATGCCGTTTTCCTTGTGTACCAATGGATTTATCATTACTTGATAAATATTGTACACTCCTCGTCGATCACGGACGACACGTCATTTTCGCTCGTAATACCAAAGGTCGTACGTCGGAATTAATTAAATCCGCTTAAATGACTGTGCTTTCTATACGATCGAGGCGGTACATAAATTGCCAATAGATCTCCGTAAAAGCGTTTGGTCATTCCTTAGGAAGCGTCGAATATCACGCCTCATGTTTACCAGTTTATTAGGCGTGTACAGCGGGATATTAAACGCACGCGAAAATATCTTCCGCGCTTTTTTTTCTCTTCTACCAAATAAATCTAGACGAGTGTATTCCTTACTTTCCCGGACAGGCATTACGTAGCGAATGTGATTGCAAACCTGCCGATAATCACCGATGCGACCGGCTTCTAAGAGCCCAAGCACGTGTTACACAAAACCATTTATGCTCTGCGCTGCACAACTGCAGACACGTGTGCAGTATGTGCATCTAGACGAAAGAGAAGAAGAAGAAGAGAGAGAGAGAGAGAGAAAGAGAAGGAAAGAGAGGTGAGATCTCGTTCTGTTCGCGTACGTGCTCGCTGTCATACATTAGAGTTAATTAAGTGTGTTTAATTAAACTCGTTGCTCCCCTTTTAATGCACAACTCCTTCCACTCGCAGCAGTTACCAGCACTTCTCTCGACAGTCGACATTTGCCATTCCCGCTTCCACCGCCGTCTTCGTTTTCCCCGTTCCGTTCCTCGCTGATGGACTTAGAAGTGCTAATGGCTCCGGCTTCGATTCCAAGTATGGCTGGAATTTCTCCTGACCGGTGGAGACGGCTCTCCTTCAAACCGAGAGACCGGAACGAGGCGCGAGCCTTAAGATCCACGGTCTTTCTGCTTCGAGGCGAAACGCGAAGCTGCGGATATTGTATCTCAAAAGCGCGTGTCCGATTCGAAAATTAAGTTTCGCCGTGAACCGAGATGAATCTTACGCAAAGAGGGACAGAGAGAAATTGCTCTCGAAGACCGCCGAGAAAGTTTCAATTATTGCCACGTTCGATACTTCTCCAAGAACAAACCGATCCCGCGGCAAGTTTGACGCAATGCGGTACGATTGGTACACTCTTCAAACGAAACGATTAATAAATAAAATCTCGTTGAATTCGCGTCGGCTCGTAGCAATTATCGGTCGTCGGCTCGCAGCGGTCTCGCCGTGTGCGATAAACAAAATGCCGTTACGCGAAATGCGCAGGGAGACGGAGGTATCGCGGCCGCTTCGCGGAAACGTCTCGCAGCCACCGCTCGGCACGAGAGTCCGCGGGGGCAATAATCTTACGCGCCGTCGCATAATGTACAGAAGCGAAAAATTAAGTACGCCAGTTCTTTCCACCGGGCCGCGGCTTTTTGTCCAGCCTCCGCGAGCGTCTCGGCCAGGTGAACGCGCGCGCCGGTTGCGCTATGATATTGCACCGTGGTCGTCGTCAATCGATAGCGGCCGCGGTGCGGCGACCGGGAACGAGCGTGCACATGCAATGCGTATACAGGTGCACATGCGAGCGCACACATGCGCGCGTACACGGACGGAGGTAACAGGCGATTCTTAGGAGACGTAATGGCACCCCGGCTCTCTCGCAGGGGGAGAAAATGGGAGCGAGGATGTGTAAAAGGCAATTGCCTCTCTTCGCTTATGGTCCGACGTAGCCGGCGACTCGCATAACTTGGCCTGTACGAGCGGCGCGTCGCGCACCTTAATGCCTCGTGTGCATCATGCGTAGCGTTGCGTGCGTCCGCGCGACCCTGCCGGCGCGGCGGACGTGTTTACAAAACGGCAATTTCACAAGGATAATTATGAAATATGCGAAGACGACGGCGAAGACGACGACGACGACGACGACGACGACGACGGACGAGGACGTCCGCCGATTCTCTTCTTTTTACGCCGGCCCTAATCGCAATTAAATTCGCCGGTTTATCGCCGTCCGCAATCGCCGCGCCACTCACGGATGATGTATCGCGCATCGGCGAATGTACCGGCCCGTAAAGATTTCGCACCGCGAGTCGAGGAAATGGTTTTCCTCTAATTAAATGGAGATAACAAGTTGCGGGGCGAATGCGCGACCCGGCGGGGATCCCGGGACGAAACGTCTGTCGAGTGGGCACATTTGTGGAGGGTATTGACCCCAACATTCCTGGGGAAAGTGTAAAAATTATTTTCCACACAAAACATTTCTGTTATGTGTGAATACTTTCAGCATCTTTTTATTCGCGGTCTTTATATTCTTTTCTGTTGGACGAACCGCGCGCTTTTGCGAACGCACTCTCTTGCTCTACTCGAGAATTGCTCGGTCGTATAAGGGTACCCGTGATATCCTTTTAGCCCTACGTCCTACCTTCCGATTAATCTCAATTGCCGAAGATACGTATAGAAAAATGTCAGTCAACATAATGTCGCCTTGCAGTTTAATCTATTACAAATCGTTCGCGACCAATCTCAAACGATGTGCTGAAAAACGAGCGGAAAGAACCTTCCTGTAGTAGCAACTACAAGTCGATATAGCTCGCCGAGCTCGTTCCTTTTCTTTTCCTTTCCTATCGAAAGATCCGGCGGGGGAGAGGGGGGAGGGGAGCAGGAGCAGTCCTCTTAATTTCATTCCCTTCTTGGGCCGATACCCATTTAACCGCGCTCTCGTACATAATAATGTTGCACGTCGTTAAGTCCGACGTCTGTATGCGCTCGCGCACGCACATATGCACTCGCCAGATAAACCGTACGTACGCTCTTAATTACGGCGGAAACATTACAAAGTCGTCCCGCGCGCTGCTTGTCGGCCGTTAATAAAGGGCAATATCTCTCCCCGCGGGGAAAAAAAATACTGCCCGGCGCGAGGGAAGTCCCAGCGCGCCGATATCCGGTTCTACGCGGCGCGGTCGGTCGATGCAGATTGCAATTGGTAACGGCGGAATGGGCCTTTGATTAAGACAAGGCCGATCCCTGAGCCGAAACGAGCTTTCGCGACTTTTTTGCGCCGGTAGTTGTCGACTTTAACGCTCTAATGCGACCCGCCGTCAAATTGACCGTGGCCGAGGTGAAGCCGGGTTGCCACGGGTGAATTCATTTCACGAATTTATTAAGCTTCAAAGATCGCGAGAACAACGACGCGGGGGATTTACGTCACGTTACAGCGTGAAGATTGTTAAAGAAGAAACGTTCCGCGAAACAATCGTGTATTTGAGAGATGACAAAGCCCGTGTCAGACTACGGATTCAGATTAGATTGAAATTCGACCAATCCAGAGCAAGGCCCGGTTTCGCCAACGTTGTTCAAACTTTAAGCTTAGCTTATTTCGTTCTTTGTCTCTTTCTAATTGTTACCCTAGAAAGAAACAAACGTGAGTTAAACCAAGACTAAAATTAAGCAACGTTTGGTGAAACCGGGCCTAGAAGCTCTCTAATCTCAAGTTTAGCGAATTTTACTCGGGGAGGCAGGCACTTATTAATTTTCGGCGAGAAAAATAACGGGCTAGACCGGGATTCGAACCTGGGACCTTCCGCTCGCCAGGCGGACGCTCTATCGACTGAGCCATCCGGGCCCACATCTTTCGCGTGGACGGAATTCGGTATTGTAACGAAAAATCTTGGAATCACGGTAGAAGAAAACGTTACTGCTACTGGAGGTATACGGAAGAGCAAGGCCGCGGGAGGAAGCTGCGAAGTCGCACCCGCGCGCAGGCAGGTTGACTGGGTTTCTATTTACAGGCCGTGCGCAGGCTTAAATTATCGACGGTGTACCGGAGTGAACGCCCCCGTAATTACGTCGGCCGGCAATTAAGCGTCACTGTAAAACGCAATATTTCCGATTAACAAGGGGACGGCTCGTTATGAGATTCAGGGAACGAAATATTTATCGCGGCTCCCGCGGGAGGAACGTCCGGCGCGCAGGAGGTTCCAGCGTGTCCTTGCCAAAGGCTGGCGGCGCAAAACGCGACCGACGGGCAGGTTAATCATCATTAAGACGGAAACCCGGCTCTCTCCTACGGGCCACCCTCGGAGGATCCTGAGTAACGATTGCGGGAGCACGCGTCGCATTAAGGTCCGCGTAAATTCGCCAACTCGTCGAAATCGCCGCTTAATTTCGCGTTGCGAGGCAGTTCGCGTTTATCGAGGGAGTCTTAAATTGCACTTTTACCATTCTCGGAATAATGCAGGCGATATACCCGGCCACGCGGAGCCCCATCCGCCACGGCACGGCTCTCCGGCTCGCGGTGTAAATCGCCGTTGCCGTACGAAAGTGCAAACCGCGGTTGTCCCTCGGTTTTAAAGCACGCGATTTATTGCGAATCGCGTGAGTTCCGTTAACGGCGCAAAAGAGATTGCGTAAACTCAACTATAATTAAGCAGCCTCCCGACGTGGAGGCTTACTAATTTCCAGCTAATCGCGCGATTTGTAAGTATAAAAGCGTCGGCCGGCAAATAATCTGGCGATAAAGATGCCCATCCCTTTGCGATGGGGGAAAAAAAAAGAAGAATCGAGACCCTTTGTGACATCTGTTAATGGCACGAAGCAAAATTGCAATAAGTACGCGGTACTGCGAAGAAAGTAATTTCGTCGAGGGGCGTATCGCCGCGTTGTTAATTGCAGGCTCCCGTACGTTTTCGCGTTTGCCAACGAAAATAAAGAAAATAATATGGAAATTATCGCGGTGCGGGTCAATCATCATTAAAGGCAAAAACTCACCGGGGGCTTTCTTCACGCGACTACCCTGCGGACACTGAATAACGGTTGCACGAGAAGGTATCGCGAATCAACAATTCCCGTTAATTCGTGAATTCTGCGTCGGTATTCGTACACGCGGGGAGAATCGTCTCTTAAAGTTTGTCCTGAAAATCACGTAATCGTGCGACCACACGGCACTTGGAAGAATCTTATCAGACTTTTTTCAAATTGTACCATACTTTCTACCAGTAATTATACCTGGTAAACATTTTACTAGTAAAGTTTCAAAAACTCTTGTCTTCAGGGTAAATTTTCAAAGAAAATTCCCTCCGTGTATCCGTCAAGCGCGTCGTGCTTTAAAGAATGGTTTACAAATTAACGACTCAAATTTCCCTGCAATATCGCGGGCAAGAAATATTTTTAGTCGTTCTAAACTCCGATTTGACACAACTTTACTGGGACGTCGTTTTGCACCGGGGGGGCAATAAATAAATTGCTCCGTTTACGGTTTAGGCACGGACGAGCCATCACGCAGTCGTGACTAACATCCGGATAGTTCGTTCTGCAGTGTGTAACCGGGATAGGAGGAGCGGACTGTGTTACCGATATACAAAAAGGGGAGAACGGGAGAAAAAGACGTTTCGGCCGCAATTTATCACTGTTAGCCCACCCTCCAGGAGGAGCACTGCGCTCTGGTGATTTCATCGGCACGAGTTAAAAAAGTGGCATCGACGCTGACGAGTCAATTCATCTCTCGTTCCACTGACCTGAAACGTGGATGACGTCAGGCTACGATCGCGCGCGAGAGCGACGCCGGGCTTAGAATCCCCCGTGTGTACGAAGCGAGGAATCGTGAGCCCGTGAATCATGTCCATTCTGGGCTGAGAGATTCCGCAACAAAGCTTATAATTTTCTTTTGCAAGGTATGTTATATTCAACGCGAGATGATACTTGTCTCGCAGCCGACCGTTGACTTTCGTCGACCACCCGAGTATTAAAAAAAAATACTGCAATTTTAGGAAGCAATTATTTTCATGTGCTTAGAATGGATCGCGTACGATTTCAGCTTCAGCTTTAGACTCAGATTTTTAGACTCGCTTGAGGGGATTTAATTCAGTCATTAATTTACACGGAGAGAATTTTCTCGAAAAATTTATCCTGAAAATCATGTCTTCGAGGCGACGACATCTTGGCATTTCGAGGAACTTTGCTGAGAGTCTTTACTCTACCTTTCACTAGGACAATGTATACCTGCTGATTGTAAGTATAGTCACTAGTAAAATGTATGGCAAAATTTCGAAAAAGTCATCAAATTCCTCGAAGTGCTGATTACGTGATTTTTTCAATTCAAGCAGCACCTACACTCACTTCGGGAAATTAAGCTTCGTTCGCTCTAAGCTATGATAAGTTCATACTCAGCCGATGGTCTCTCGTAAAGATCGCTTCTCCAGGCTTCCGAGAAGCCCGCGTCCGCGGAGCCGTCGTCTCCGGTCCCGGAAACACGGAAATCAGTCGTGGAGCGCGTCAGGGTCGCGACGGAGAGTAAAGGGTTCGCAGGGGAAAGAAGGACGAGACGCGAGAGCGGTGGAGAGAGACGAGTCGCTCGCAGCCGCGCGTCGCAGCCTCGTCCGGCAGTTCGTCCCGCGGCGTCCGTATCGAATGCTAATTAAACGGGTGTCGACTGTATCAAAATACCTAACGGCCGCGCGGCAGCGAGGAGAGGCGAGTGCGGACCGATCGGCCGCGGAGCGAGTGCCGGGCCACGGTATAGTTTTCGGGGAGCCGTGGAGCCTAATGTATGCCAGTGGGCTAGCACGGTGGTCCCGCGGCACCGTGTGGGTGGTCCACGTCCTCCTGCCAAGGCACTCCCCTATGCTACGGGCACTGCTATGTGCACTATATACTCTCTCTCTCTCTCTCTTTCCTCCTTTCTGTCTCTCCTTCTCTCCCATTCTCTCTCCTCACTCTCCCTTTCTCTTGCCCTCCCGCATTTCCCTGCATTTCGCCCTCTCACTCTCGTCTTCCCGTTTGCCCCCTCGGCCCTCGCGCGGGGTGATACGCACGCGAGAAACGCTTTCTCCGTCCCTCTCCCTCTTTCTCCCGGCCGGACTTTCCGTTTCCCTCCTCGCGCCATGCGTCTCTTTCCTCGTTCGCTTCTCGTCACGTAAGTTCGCGCATTTAGTTACGCGTTCAAACACAGCCGGCTGTGTGGTAGCCGCCGCGAGATCCGTGTAAGAGACCGGGCCTCTTGATGCACCGTCGCGCTGTCATGAAGTCATGACCGATCTGTCAGTGCCTCCGTCTTGCTCGGGAGCGCTACGGAGCGTTAGGCGCGATCGCGTGGATCGTTTTTCGACGACCGCGAGAAGACCGAAGGCTACGACGACTCTCAACCTTCCCCGGTAACGTGGTGAGTCCCGTGCCTGCTCGACGTATCGGCTCGACCGTTTGCGGTTCATTCGACGAGCGTGTAAAAAAAAAGGAACGCTGTATAATGAAAGGATTACTTTTAATACCCGGGATTATCCGCGCGAAAACGCGTGGCGTCTCTCCTGCCTAAGGCGAAGTCCTACGCGTATCGTTTACCGCCCCGACAAAGTAGCGGTCTTCGCCGGAGCGAATAGCGTGTAACGCGCCAGCGTGCGTACTCACGTGCATCTTAAATCTCTCACTTTATCCACATTTCTCGCACACGTGCGTGGCACAGCACGCCGCATTAGCGGTCTCCTACGCGAGAGAAAATAACGCGAGCCTATTCGTATCCGAGGGATACGTGAATGCCGGTTTGTACAGGTCTTTATCCATTGATGCCCGGACCTCAGTTTCACTAGGATTCACATTTCCATAATCTTTATTTCCATCTGTACCTCGACGAGCTTCGGGCTGTAGTTCACGCGGCTTCTATAGAAATCTGTGGTAGCGCATACATACCGAGGGGGAAACCGCTGACCAAAATCTTGTACACCAATGCCCACTAATGACCACTTCGCGGAGCGAATGAGTCTAATTCAATGAATGGCAATTTGATCGTTTCCTCTCGCGAGTCTCAGTATTAAATGCCCCCGCGATTAAACGCCGGATAAACTTCACCCAGGCTTTCCTTAATAATTCACAGAAACCAAGCCAAGCGCTGTTGACAATTCAATATTTGCATTCCAAAAGGAACGACGCATAAACTGCAAATTTGCCAAACGATTTATGGATCATCCGCAGCTCGGGATGAGTAATGCGAAAGCGCGTAGCGGAGTGCGTGAAAGGCTGGTGGTAGAGAACAATACGTAAGCGCTTAAGACTGCCTCAAGTCGTAGACGTAAGGCAAGGCGGAGAAAAACTCAAGTCGTGATAGTCTATTGTATTCGACTTGAGTTTTTCTCTGCGTGAAGGGCTGATGGCAGGCAACAATCCGTAAGCGCTTAAGCCTGTCTTAAGTCGTAGACGTAAGGCAAGGCAGAGAAAAACTCAAGTCGTGTACAATAGACTTTCATGATTGAGCGCTTAAGCCTGTCTTAAGTCGTAGACGTAAGGCAAGGCAGAGAAAAACTCAAGTCGTATACAATAGACTTTCGCGACTTGGGTTTTTCCCTGCCTTGCCTTAGTACCCTGAGCAGAATAGCTGTCTTGCATTCTTAAGTCACAAGACCAGTTATTGTGCGTTACTTTAAGACGAAGGTTTAAAACACAAAACATTGTCTTAAGAGTACAAGACAGCCATTCTGCTCAGGTCAGTCTTACGTCTACGACTAGGACAGTCTTAAAGCGTTTACGGATCGTTCTCTGCCATCAGCCAGAATCATAAGCGTTAGGTCACGTACTGATCGTCCATATTGCTGGGCTTGCTTGCCAGCGGCGTACGACATACTTACTTACTACCTACCG